GGACAGAGGTTTTTCTAATTCACTTTTTTTGCTCCACAATGGGGGACAGTATATTTTGGAGTTACCTCGATGTGTGTGGTGACCCAGATAATTAGACATAACAAATGAGTGGAGCAAGCTAACATTCAGCTAACTAGATAAAAATACATCAGCAGTATCTGGGTGTCTCGTTCACCAGTAACGTTCAGATTGGGCAGGAAATGAATCAACAACATATCTGTCCCAGTTAAAGCTCCACACTTTTCTGCAGATTCCTCCGTATAGAATGTCTTTTTTAGTCTCCATTCATGAGTTTTTGGCCATTTGACTATTTAAAATTGTCTGTTTCTGGATACAACGCTCTGATTCTGGAAGTGAGTAGATTTTTTTCTTTTTTTTAAATTAATTTATTTATTTTTTGAAGCAAATGGTTACAGCAAAATGCAGCAGCCGAGCAGTTTCAGAATAAACAAAACACGGTATAAAACGTCTGATCAATCACACAGTAAGTTCTTATGGGGAGGGGGCATAGGCGTCGCAACAATAGTAAGTGAAGGGGACATGTCCCCCACACTTTTCAAAAGTATCCGTTTGGACCCCTCCACGTTTGTCTCATCAGTTCACCCAGGGCTGTTTTTGTTAGGCGACTTGATAAAAGAATCCATTCCACTTGATTGACAGGAGAAAACTCATCACACTAAAAGTCCGCTCCGGGTTTTCCTGGTTACCTCCAGTCAGCACCGCAGCCTGCAGCAGGAACGAGCAGCCGGAGTCGGAGATGACCGGCGTCAGACTACCTCCACCGGGTTAGATGGGAGGAAGATGACGGTGAATTCCAGGAGTGCAAATATTCAACCTAAAACTAACTTCTAGCTGCTTCTAGAAGGCAGCGTGTGTGTTTGTATCCCTCCACAGACACAGGACATTAGGAGATGTTTTACAGAGAAACAGAAAGTAAGTTAAACTCTCCACAGAACAGATTTATCCTGTGTGAAGTTAATGCAGTTAGCTGCTGGCCACAGCTAGCTTACATATCACCACCAGTTAATGTAATTTAAAGCATCTGTTAAAGTACAGTGATCAGCTGGTGATATTATCAGCAAGAATAACATGATCACATCAGAAGATTATTGGGTGTTTTTATTAAAGTATAAAATGATTGCATTCTAACATACTGTTAGAGTAGACTTTTTTATTATCAGAATATTTTAAGCATAAAACAAAGCTTGGTTCATGTCTGAAAACTTTAATAATCAGATGATGASACTGTTGACTCACAATCACTGATAATGATTGGGCAGACCAGATAGTCATCTGTTATTTATTGATCACATTTCATGATATTTTCTGACTTTTTAAAGCTGACTGACTTCAGCTGGCAGTAATAAAAACCTGATGTTTAATCCATCTTCAGGTGATGCAGGAGCTGATGAGAGTCATGGTCAGCAGGTAGGGACAGAGCTCTGTGGCTCAGGTGAGTGATGATGATGATGATGATGAAGGTGATGCTGGGAAATTATGAATGAAATCTAAAATGTTTACTTAAATCAGTTTTTATTTTGAGTCCATTCTAAACAGTTGTGTGAAGTTTAGGAAATGCAGTACTGATTTAAAGGCATAATCTACAGCATGTTTAAACTGAATTTATTATATTTTGAACAGTATAAAAATTACAGGCTTATTAAAATTTTTACTTTAATTAATAAGTAGGAAGTGGTAGAAATTGAGGTGTTACCAGGGTCGGAAGGAACCTGTAGACCTATTTTTGTTTTAATAATTACATGCAGATTGACAATACTGATAAATGTTTTTTGTTTTATTTTATTTTTTGTCACCATAAAACAGTGTCATTTTATGTTCTGAAAGCTGCGTTACACCCTGTTCCTTTTGGTTATGAGTAGGCCTATCACTAAATCATAAAAAAGTGAAATGCCCCTCTAAATTCACTGTTGGTGGTTATCAATGTTGCACCTGTTCATTGGGTAAAGTTATTATTAGTTTTAAACATGCAGTTAATGGTCATTTATTGGCACATTGACATGTTACAATTTAAAACAAATCAAGAATAAACAATTTAAAAGTAAAAGGCACCCCTAAAGTCACAGGACATGTTAAATTGTGTCACATTAATTAACCTTATCTCAGCTGTAGCAGTGAGTTTTAAACAGGATGATATAACTAGTTTAATGAAGAATCTGTCTCTGAAATAATAATTAAATCAAGTATTTATTTATGTATGTTATTGTATGTTTAAGAACCTGGTAAAAAAAAACAAACACCAGAATGCAGGAAATGGCATATCTATTTCGTTCAAAATTTTCTGGGGGAGGACCCCCAGACCCCCCACCCTGACCTGTGTGCCCCACCCCCCCACTTTTAAAATGGTTCTGACACCCATGGGAGGGGGTTAAAAAGTTGTCTTGGCATGTTGTGATGAAGGGGCAGCTGATTTGAAGCTGTGAAAAGAATGATGCAATTTTCATCATGCAACGGCAACAATGAGGCCTGATTTCTGCAGTTCAGATGGACCATGCAACGTCCTTTAGAGTAAAGGTGGACAGCTTCATCATTCCATTCAGGGGGAGCTTGGAGTAAAGATGCTGCTCCTGGGTGGTTCAGTCATTTGTTTAGGATGCCTCCTGAATGCCTTTTTTTTTATTTTTTATTTTAGATTTTTCAGGCATGTCCCAATGGTAAGAGGCCCTGGAACAGAAAAGAACTCTCTGGAAAGATTAGATATCTTCTCTGGCCGGGAAACAGGCCGGTAGCTCTGACATCACATCTGATGAAGACCCTRGARAGGCTGGTCCTCAAYCATCTGCACCACCAGGTGACATCYTCGTTGGATCTGCTACAGTTTGCCTACCAGCCTGGCATCGRGGTGGATGATGTCATCATCTACCTCCAGCACCGAGCTCTGACTCACCTGGAGCAGCCTRGAAGCACTGTGAGGATCATGTTCTTTGATTTCTGCAGTRCTTTCAACAMCATCSAGCCAGGACTTCTGAGGGACAAGCTGGAGCTGTCTGGAGTGGACCACCACATGTCCCAGTGGATTCTGAACTACCTGACGGACCACCCTCAGTATGTGAGGACACAGGACTGTGTCTCGGACATGCTGGTCAGCAGTATGGGGTTCTGAGTCTGTCATGCTGTTATTTCCTGTAAATTCTTATCTTTCTGCACAGTAGCTTGCTTTTATTTTTCATTATTTTCTAATTTGACATTGAGAGCCCGGTACGGTAATTATTATTCCTATTTTTATTTTTGATCTGTTTATTTTGTATTGTTACTGTCTTTAATTCTATTATTATTGCTACAATTGATATTGTCACACAGCAACATATTATTTTGTGGATTGATGTTTGTATCTGCTGCTACACATGAATTTCCCCGTGCAGGACAATAAAGGCTGTTTCTGTTCTATTCTAAACACCATGGGGTATAAAGGAATAAAGTGTCGCTTTGGGACCTGTTRATTTCACAACCCGACTACTAGGGCTGCAGCTAACARTTATTTTAGTAATCAATTAATCYATCAATTATTGTGTMAATTAATTGAGTAATCAGATGTTTTAAAATTTATCAGGTTCTAMAGTAATTACTTAAGCCTATTTTATGACAAATACAATCGTTTGATATTGTGAAGGGKTAATCTACACTTGTTGATGACCCTGCTGAAATCAAAGTAAAATTACTATATCAGTTGTGTTTGATTTATGCATTTTAAGCTACAATTGCTTGTATTTGTGTGTGTGAAGTTTGAGGGTACATTAATTAAAAGCACTCTGTCATTGAATCATTTTTAACCATCACTGAAAAATCTAACTGCTGTAAATTCATTTTGATGGATTGGTAAACTGAATGTGATATTTTTTGTTAGGATTTGGGAGAGTAAATTAGCGTACAATTTTGAGGTTTGCACAATGAGTTTTGTAGCGTTCACTTGTTATTTTTAATAGAAAAAGTAAATTAATATTTTTATTGACTATTGTTGGCACAGTGTTCATAGTTCACATTTTAGGCAATAAAATATTTAGTCTTGACTGCACAGCTATAAATGACCACAGCAGTAAAGGGTACTGACAGGTTTCAAAGCCATAAAAATGCACACACAAAAAACWCCTACTACTGTATATCCAAAAATACATTTAAATCTTGTTTTTACAGCAAAAAAATGTTTTTTGTTTTTTCTCCAAGGCGCACACCCCTCTGAGCTCTTCATTACAACCTTATTTGTCTGTAATGGTTGTAAAAAAAAAGTTAATTAAACAAATAAATAAACAAACACTCTGCTACACTTTAAGGTGAGTGGCATCTTTCATCATAGCTGCAGAGGAAAATATAAAAACAGCCTCTGAAYTTCAAGTCTCACAGATGAAAGGCTGTACTAGATTGACCCCCTCTGTGGAAATAAAAAAATCACTGCYAGCAGTGGTGTCTCTACAGACAGGAAACACTTCATGACTGAAACCTGACTCAGACCCCAGCAGGATTCTGTAAACAAATATGGCTGCTTGATTCTCACCTGTAGCTCACTTGATGCACATTTCATTAAAACGAAGTTGGGCCTACCTTTATTATTTGTGTTTATGTTGGTCAAAATTACAATTATGTAACCTGGTAACTCTTACATCTATACATTGATTAAAACCTAACATAAAAAGAAACACTATTTCTATCAGGCTACTTAAAATKAAATCATTTATTACTTTATCTCTTTTAGAGTTGAACAAATCAAGTGGATGGATTTGCAGATGTTTGCAATCCAGAGTGTCAGTAATTCCTTCTGCTTCTGTTTGCAAACCATCTATCCAAAGTGATGAGTATTCTGCTGGAGGCATTATCATATAACCTTGTCCACAAGAGAAAACACTATCTGTGTGTGAATGTGTCTGGGCACTAACAAGATAGGGTGTGTGTGCAGCCATGCATATACCCATGTGTGATTTACAACTGTGTGAGCAACGTGCCAATGGGCACKAACTGCAGAAACACAGAGACGCTTGTGTTGGACTTACCGAAGATATTTGTGGAATGTCCTTTCTTAGCAAGGGGTTTCAGTTCATTGTGACCCCAACCGTACTGTCTGTAGCTGTCCCATGCGTGTTTCATCATCTAGAAAAGCAAGAGACAAGTAAAAATCATAAACATATTAAAATATGTTGCGTCTTTTGCTGCAAGTTGCTCGTTATGATCACGATAGTAACCACACACCAATGTCTCTCATTCATTGATGTTACTCATCATTAGACAGTAAACTATGCTTTAACCAGTCACTGTATATAAACTAGAGGTCCTTTTGAAAAAAGTTCTTGAGTAAGTCATGAAAGTGTCTGATTGTTGCATGTTGATTTTAGTATCTGCAATGTTTTAGGTGGGAGATATAACAAATAAAAAACAAAATAAGACTCACTTGCTGGTTTGAACATAACACTCTGAGCTCAGATAAAATGGGAACAGTGTCCTTAGGACTTAAGCTTGAGTTATATTTCAATACGATGTGAGACAGCGGGTCGGTGATTGCTTCATTTCAGACGTCTATTTCCTGACCGAGTATAAACGGGCTGAAGACGAGGCGGACCMTAAATGATCATAATTCCTCCCAGCTCATAGAAAGTATATAAACAACAATATTGATGGCTGGACTTTTTTTATTTTCACTCAACGATCAGTGTTGTGTTGGGTGACGAGTTCAAGGAGGAACAACTTTTTCTGGTGGTGATGAGAAAAATAAACATGAAAATCATATGCATGCTCATGCAGTCAATAGGGTCAAATCAGTTGCTCATCAAAGCTGTTAATCTTTCTAATTTAACAACCAGCTTCAGGGAAAAGATCATTTTCAGCAAAATAACATGCAGAAGGAAGAGCTGCTCTGGTCATGCTCCACAGCGCTGCATTGCTTCCTCCTGAACAAACATGCCCACAAAGTTCTGACCAATCACACGCTGTGAGCCGCAAGGTCCGTGTTGCAGAGTTCTGACTGAGGGAAATGCAGACGGCGACTGTCACCGGAGATGGAAGTTACGCAATTTTTGTCACTCATCAGAGGGACTCAAAAGTATAAACCAGCCTTTACAGTTTTCAGCGAGTCATTGACAGAAAACAAATGTGCCTAAAGGTTTAGACATATTAATGTAATGTAACTATTTATGGGAATAAGAAACTTGCTTACAAAAGTTTTAAAAGCTTAGACTGTTTAAAAGTTAGTGTGTGACATCATTAAAACGGCCTTATTCACTTAAAGTTTGGATGATGTCTTTACTGTTCAGCCTGCCTGAGATACTGGGAGGTTTACTGGGTTGGGTTTTATACACACACACACATGCACGCACGCACACACCTACACACACACACACACACACACCCACACCCACACACACACACACACACACACAC